TATTATTTAGTTAGATTTGATTATTTGTTTCCTCCTTGATTCCCTTCATCTTCACTTAAATTGTGTATTAATGGAATTACTTGAAGCAATGTAGCATTTCTTTAACTCTGGGTCTAGATTTGCTGATTCTATCTTCACAATGTCAGCTTTTATTAAAGTATTTATTATGAAGCAAGAAGAATCCACGAAGCATGCTTCGCTTCAGTTCAGGTGCAGAAAGATTGCTGCTCCTGTCATGGAAAAGCCGAATTCTTTGTGTCCGGCTGCTATCCAAAACGTGAAAGTTGAAGGAGATCAAGACTCAGGCAAGGGGATTGAGTCTCCGACGCCAGAGAAACCCGAATGCAAGAGAAAGATTAAGGGTGCCAGTTCAATTCTGAAAGGAAAGAATCTTTTTGATGATTCCCATGAGGATGGTGTTGAAACCCAATCAGAGGAAAGTGATCCTGAAACCAATAACAAAGCAGATTCTTCTGAAAGGAGCAATTTTGTGCTCAATAGGTCACAAGAAGGCGATATAGTTGAACTCCCAGAAGAGTGAGTTTCATAAAATTGCCACTTGTTATTCTTGATTTGCTTTTAGTGGTTCTATACTAGCTGTTGGTTTCTGATGGCAGGTACAACATCCTCTCTGTCCTTTTTGACCGGATGATTAGTTCTATTAGATTGCTTGCTTTGCGGAAAAGGTTGCCCATTTTTCGTAACATTAGTACTCAAGTGGAAAGATTATCAAAAAGGTATTTTAAAAAATGATGAGTTCCGTTGGCTTGAAGAAATTTGTTGGAAACTGAGGCTGACTATTCCTTTGTTTGTAGGAAATTATTATGCAGCCATCTTGCACAGATGAAATATGCGTTTCCTGAAGCCATTCAAATTGAGAAGATACTCATACATGATGAGGAAAGCCTATGTGTCGTTCCAGACATGAAGATCACCCTAGTCCAGAGTGTCATAGAAAGCACTCTCAATGCTGACCAGTCTGCTTCAGTGGCTCTTTGCAAAGCTTTTCATTCAAGGCTTGTAGATATTTTCAAAGCCAATCCAGAGGTATTGCTCTTTCATGCCTATGTTTATGTAGAAGTGCGCGAAGGTGTTTAACTATTGTGTGCGCAAGTGCAACTGAGATGAAGACCTCTAAGGAGGAAAAAGGCTTTGATGATAGATTTAATAGAAGATGTGTTAACCAAAGTGTCTAGGAATGAGGAAAGAATAAAACTTTACCCGGAGCGTTGGATTGATGACGAGGAATGTTCTGAAACTTGTGATTTAGTTTGAAGAGATTACGGTGGATGTTAGGTTATTTCACTTTGAATACATTTTCCTCAAAACTTTAGTGCATTCCCTTAAGTTGTATAGCATAAGTTAGCTGGGCGGAGCAGTATCTATTTTTCTGTTACGGTGTCAGTATCCACTCCCACAATACTCAACCAACCTGTTTATCTTTGAGAAATGAATTGGAAATGCATTTGGTTAACATTTGTAGTTCATTTTCCTAGGTTCTATGTTGAAGGAATTCTTCAATCATATAGTTCAAATTCATGACCCTCAAAATAGTGAGAATTTTGAACTTCACTTTGCCTTTATTGGAAAACCTGTATGGTTGAGGACCTTAAATAAAAGGGTTTTGATTGTCAAAATGGAAGCAGAGGGGCATTATGGATAGATATATTTTATAAATGTTTGACAGGAAAGGACAAGGATTCAGCAGAAGGCTAAACTTTTATGTTTAAGAGAAATGCATATGCATTGCAGAACGTGATAAAGAGTTTCTTAAGCAATGCAAATTTATGGCAAAAATCTAGTGAAGTTGAGAGCTTTTCAAATGGGGGTGAAGAAGCAGTTAAGAAGCTGTTTCATGTGAATAAGAAATGACAAAGTCTGAAAATAAGAACTTTGTCCAGTTCAAACAAACTATCATTTTAAAAAAAAGAAGGCTGAAGTTGAAATTCGATAGAAGCTTATGTGCAGTACAGAAGATAAAAAAGTTTCTTAAGTAATGCAAGTTTATGGTGAAAATCTGGTGAAGTTGATAGCCTTTCACTTGGTGTGAAGAAGCAGGTTAAGGGCCTGTTTGGTTGATCGGAATATCAAAAGTAAGAAATAAATCAAATCTATTACTTCTAAAATTATGAAGTAGGAAGTAGCGGAAGTACTTTTTTTTGTTTCATAAATTTTTGGAAGTAAAGGAAATAATGTTTCTTCCACTTCATTAACTTTTTTTGTTCGGTAGCAAATATAAATGTTGTTAGAAAGAGAGAAAGAGGATCTTTCAGGATTTTATTTAGAATAAGAGAATTATCCATGAAATAACAAAAAAATTTTTATTCCTAAATTGGCTCAATTTTTGCTACATTCTGAGGACAAGAAATAGAGATGACACGTAGGCGCCATGTTAGCTTTTAAGAAACCGAAAGTAGCTTTTACAGAGAAACAAACATACTTTTCTTCTCAAAAGTAGCAGAAATAGTTCCTAGTTTCTTTACTTTAGCTATTTCATAGCTACTTCCATGCAAACAAAAAAAACGTGCTCTAAGAAGCTTAAAGTTTTATGAAAAAAATGATTGAAGTTTGAAAATAGCAATTTTATCCCATTTAAGTGTAAATGAACTATCAGCTTCAAAGAAAGATGAGAGCATGTTCAAGGGATAAGTAGAGAACATGACTAAGAGATGAATGTCATTCCTCTTAGAAGTTTTGCACTATGTAATCCTTCAAAAAAAGTAAGTCAAACCATATGGCCTTCCCATGAAACAATGTGGCAGAACATTTGCTAATAGCCTAATATACTATATTGAAGCTCTTAACTCACTCCTGGATTTTGGCTAGATCAATTAGTCTTACTCTTAGATAGCTCATACAACATCCAAAAAAGGATAAGTGAATTTTATCTCATTCAAGTGTAAATGAACTATCAGCTTCAAAGAAAAATGAGAGCATGTTCAAGGAATAAGTAGAGAACAGGATGAAGAGATGAATGACATTCTTTTTAGAAGTTTTGCACTATGTAATCATTCAAAAAAAGTAAGTCAAACTATATGGCCTTCCCATCAAACACTATGGCAAAACATTTGGTAATAGCCTAAGATACCATATTGAAGCTCTTAACTCACTCCTGGATTTTGGCTAGATCAATTAGTCTTACTCTTAGGTATACAACATCCAAAAAAGGATAAGTGAATAAATGAACTATCAGCTTCAAAGAAAGATGAGAGCATGTTCAAGGGATAAGTAGAGAACAGGACGAAGAGATGAATGACATTCCTCTTAGAAGTTTTGCACTATGTAATCGTTCAAAAAAAGTAAGTCAAACCATATGGCTTTCCTATAAAACACTGTGGCAGAACATTTGTTAATAGCCTAAGATACCATACTGAAGCTCTTAACTCACTCCTGCATTTTGGCTAGATCAATTAGTCTTACTCTAAGGTAGCTCATACAACATCGAAAAAAGGACAAGTGGATTCACAATGGTTGCTTCTCTTTGCCTTATTCATAAGCATCTCAATGCTATACACATTTAAATTCTCTATAAGTATCCGTAGTCGGTTGATGAGCTCTATTCATCAAATACTCAAGTGTGCATCTAGTGGTAGCAGTTTCTATTCATCCTATATTGTCTGGGTTTAATCAAAAGGGGAATTGTTTTATTTAATGGAATATAATAAGAAAACATTTGTCTCGTGCTGTTTGATTGGGTATAGTTGTGTTGCTAACTTTTCAATTTAAAGTACAACTACTGCTTGTTGAGAGTTTTTTTTTATATTGAAAGAAATGCATTATTGCATTTTTCTTATTTCTTTCAAGGCACAGATGAAGCTCCATTAATACAAGAAGGATATAGCTTTTCATATCCATACCTCCAATCAATTAGACACTGACACTCAAGCCTTAATTATACAGTTAATCATTATTGTACCTAGAATCGTATAAATAACACCAATCAATCCTACAATCAAGGCCCACTTATGTGGTCTAATATTCATAACATAGTTTTATAATGAATCTTGACATTCCATTGATCATTAATTTTTATAGAGATAGATTATCTTCTTAGCTGTATTTCGTCAAATATACAATATTATTTGTAAGGTTCATATTTGTAACTTGTAAGTACCTCAGTAAATAGGCTGATAGTTTAACTTCAATTAAGGTAAAAGGATAGCTTCAGTCACTAGAAATTCTAAGTTATGATTTCTACAAATTGCATGTTAGTTCATGATGAAAAATAAAGCTAAAAGGAGAATTTATTTCTAATTACATTCAAGGAGAAAATGTTAATCACTGCAAATTATATTTAGTCCATGATGAGAAGCGTACACTAGAAATGATGGAATATGAGATCTAAGCATTAGTCCAATTTATTCAAAACTCATCTTGAGGCTAATACTGCTTGAGGATGAAAACTATACTTTTCCTTTAAATGAGGAGTGTACCCATTCTAACTAGATTACTGGTTGATCGAATATGCCTCTATTAATTAAGCAATTCCAGTTAATTATCGTTAGATGGATGAAGTTCTAACATAAATCTTTGATGTAATAGTCTTTTTTTTTGTTTTTTGTTCATCAATCCAAAGTTTAACCCTACATATTTTAAAACCCACCGACTTCTACAAACACCTATGCACCTAAAATAGTATGATGACTTATTTTTAAACCCAATTTGTCAAATACAGCCTAAATGTATACACTATCTACCCAAAAAAATTGAAAACCCAAAAGTGCCCTTTTCCTTTAATTCTCTTCTATCTTCTGAAGCTTAACCAAAGACATCTAATGTCGATGGCAGAATTTTGGGAAGGAAAGAATTTGGTGCTGCCCCTCAAAGAAAAACGTTATTATAGTCAGAGGTGGAGTCGTCTTGCTCACTCATTGCGAAGTCTATTCAAGATAGTTCCTAGTTTTAAGTGTTTTGGGCAAATTAGAGAGATGCCCATGCTCTGTTTGATAAAATGTCGAAAAGGCCATAGAATGCTTATTCATGCTTATTGAAGCATTCTTATTGCTTTGCTTGCACAAAGAATTTTTTTTGATGAGATTACGAGGAATGGATGAAATGTTTTTAGGCTTTTTTGGGATGTATTTCCCTGCTAAGTTATATTATTATTTGATAGATTTTTATCAATTAATTTTGAATGAGAGTATCTTGAGATTTCTTAGACAAACTTTGATAGTAAGTGCGGATCCTTCATTTGCGGAGAAGATATGCATGGTGACTGTTTGAAAAAATATCTCAATGGAATGAAATATTTGTTAATTTATTGAGTTGCAGTTGTAATCCTTTTCTTTTAGTAGGAAAATCAAATTTAGAGGTGAGCTCTCTTGCAACTCTTTGCTATTAGAAATGTATAAAGTTATATCTATATCAGGATGTTTGAAATGTATGTATTGTGTGAAATATATAGAAATTAGAGGATTCTAAGCTTTGATATTTTCCTTATAATTGTATCTTAACATATATTATGTTTTTCTTTATTGTCCTCAGACTTTCTTCAAGCATAAATTCAAAATTTTTGAATTCTTTCATGGAATGACATAACTCATAAAGAGCTATATTTTGCTAAAGAAAGAGTTGTAATAGTTTGCACAACGGAGCTATATTTTTACTATAACGAGCTACAATATTTTCTAAAAAGCGATATTTTGAACAATCAAACTTAGGATTTTCTTTATTATTCGCATATTTTCCTTAAGCATAAAATCCAAAATCTTTGATTTCTTGGACTGATAGAACTCATAAGGGATATATTTTACTCAAAAAGAGTTACTTTACTCAAAACTAGCTATACTTTTCATTAAGGAGCTATATTTAAATTATAACGAGCTACAATATATTTTAAGAGCTATACTTTGAACAATCAAAATTAGGATATTCTAAGATTTCTATATTTTCATTATGATGTATCTAAATATATATTATCTTTTTTTCATTATCCCTAGACTTGTACATATAATAAAAAACTTTTGATTTTTTTCTTGGAGTAACGGAACTAGTAAAGAATTATACTTTGTTAAAATGAGTTATACTTTACTCAAAAAGAGCTATAT